GGAAAAACTATGGAGGATGTGAGAAAGCGAGTGAATATAGATTTGGTTCGTCAGGTAGGTGAAGAACACAGACTACGAAGACTAATTTCAGATCCTGCATTTGTTAGTAGGAAAATCTTCTATGGGGCGAACTTAGTAGCTGTACACCAAAGGCAGACTAATGTAAAACTAAATAAGCCGGAATATGTAGGATCATGTATTCTCGATCTTTCTAAATATTATATGTATGACTTTTGGTATAGTTATCTCAAAAAGAAATACGGGGATAAAGTAAAACTCCTATATACTGATACAGATTCATTAATCATAGAAATTGAGACCGAAAATATTTATCAAGACATGGTAAACAATTGTGATTTATTTGATTTTAGTGATTATCCCGGAGAGCATTGGGTGGTAAAAAATCTTCCAGAAGATCAATGGATAATTAATGAAGAAGGTAAGCGTGTATTAAAAAATACTAAAGTAATAGGTAAGTGGAAGGATGAAAATGGAGGAGATAGAGCTATCGGCTATGCAGGAGTTCGTGCAAAATGTTATAGCGTTGTGTGTGAAAATTCACGAAAAAATAAGATCAAGGCTAAGGGTCTTAAAAAGTCTCTCATCAAGAAAGAGCTTACACATAAAATATTCGAGGACTGTGTTTTAGAAGGGAAAGAAGATCAACCACGAACTGCTCAATTCCTCCGAAGTTACAGACATCAAATGTATAGGATATCGCAAACAAAGAGAAGTGTTAACCCACTAGATACAAAATTGTGGATAGCACAAGATATGGAAACGACATATTTATATGGAGATTGTGAAATTCCAGAAGAATAAAATAAATCGTTCTACTTATTGTAATAAATATATCTATTTTTTTGATCAATAGAAAATAAATATATAAAAAATAAATACGTACGCAAGCAATTATTAAAACAAGGATATGACGAAGTATCAGATATCATTGACCTATATGATGGAACTAGTTGCGAGGTTATGTGCAATTGAGAATATCCGGAGAATGCATAGTATATCTGCCTAAAATTAATTATCCGAATATTGGTTATTTTTTTCGATTAAAGATATATAATAATACATTACTTGAGAATGGTACAACTATTGCGGAGCAGGCCGTTAGGCAATTCTTCGAATTATGACCCAAAGGGTCTAAATATTTTTGATTTACCAGAATTACTAGAACAGATATTATATTTTTTAGAAATCAATCAATCTCTCTATCCTGCTTTATTCGTCAACCACTTTTAGTATCACTGCGGTGCTCCTATTCTATGGTGACGTATTGAGTTTTTTACAGAAAAAGATTATCGGAGAGGTCGGCATGGTCGTAAGATGCCTCGAGTTCTTACTCGGCAATTGATAAATTTTAAAAAAGTCATGTGTGGAAAGATAAAGCCAATCTATTGCGCCAAGATGATATATCTCAGATTGGAAGGTTTAAAAATCAAAGATGCGTTGATTAGTGCGATTCTACGCTCATGTCCAGATATACGTATTCTCATTCTTGATCGAAGTGATGGTTTCTCTAACATACCAATTATAGAAATTGCAAGATATTGCCCAAAGCTATTACATCTGAGTCTTAATTCATGTATATGTCTCACTAATTGATGTATCGCTGAAATAGTGCGTTCTTGTCCAAAACTTAGACATCTTGAGCTTGGTAACTGTTCGATTGGTAATAAAGCTGTCGAGGAAATAGCCCGCAACTGTACTAATTTGAAATATCTTAGTTTGGAAGGATGTAATGGGATTAGCGAAGAAGTGATGAAAAAACTTAATTCTAAAATTAGCGTGAGCAAGCCTTCGGCTAAAATCAAACATCCGGATTATTCTGATGATGAATTCTCGGATTCTGATCTACCTCCACTTGTTCCAGATCCATTAAGGGTATCTCGAAGCGTTATCTTTACCGGTGGACCTAATAGAATGATTTTAACTAATACATTAATTGTAACAGATCTTATTTCTGCAATTAGAGTATCATCAGCGTTGACTGATTCAGATCCGGATTTTGATGGACATATCATTTACATTCTAAAATAATAGTATACAACTATTTAGTCGCATATAAAAATAATTTTCAATGTATTGCGGAGCAATGGCTCTTCGAGCCTTATCATAATAAGTATTTCTTATCTGAAAATGCGTCTGTATGTATTGTTGTATAAAAACGATTAAGCTTTTTTTTTTGACGTCATCCAGGAAGAGAGATGGTAAAGATATTTCCGGTAGTATTAAATGTGTTTCATATTCATAGTTTATGTGCCTATTTCTTTTGAAATGACACTCCGTCTCTGGAACTAGCTCCGTTATAATAAATATCGTAGTGTAGAATATGCGTAGCATAGAGACGAAGTCTCATATAACCAAAAAGTTGTTTATACGATTAGCTCCGCTATTAATACACAGTAAAAAAAAACAGAATTGAAAAATTAATAATTATCTTAGACAGGTCAGTATGCCTATTCTTCCTCATTTCACAATTCGTGGGTTACGGATAATGGTGCTTCGTAGTAGAGAATGAGTAATTAATTCCGATTTGATTTTTTTCTCGGTCAAAGAGATATAGTGTATAATAATATAACCAAAATGTTGTTTGTAAATTGCACAGTCGAAGAAAAATCTCCTATGGAAACATCAATTGATCCCGTTGAATTCTTGGTTCTTGGATCAGATTGGCCTGGACCTGATCTAATGTCGTGTAATATTATGCGATCACTAGATCTTCTCTGTTTTACGAATAAATAAGAGGCATCTATTGTTGTTGTATAAAAATGATTAAGCTTATTTTTTTTTGACATCGAATGAGGGCCTGTGCGTCGTATGAGATGTGCCAAAGTTTTCGATTTTACCTATCAGATAAATTCACAATCAATTAAGATCGGCAAAGGTAACGGATCGTCCATAGTAGATAAATTTTTAATGAGCTGACCGTGCAATTCAAAAAAACCAATGATTATTGATAACTTTAATAATGTGTACTCACAGCAGATTGATCATCCGCGCTGGAGAAACTCTGAAATGCATATAAAAACAGCTCAAATTCGAATTCGTATAATTTTTCTACTTCATAACTATAACATTCGAATAAATACAATAAAAATCTGTTAAATCAATCAAACCCACGTTAATAAATAAAACATAGTAAATCAATTAATCAAAAAGCACGTTAATAAATAAATCAATAAAACGTATATAGTAAATCGATTAAAAACCACGTTAAAAAATAAAATCATATTAAACATCATTCTTACATTTATCGAATCAAAGGTTTGTTAAGACTCTTGTATCAGATTTAGAGATGTAGTATTCTTGTAGCGCCATTGGACTAACTGATTTTTACCCATAGATGTCACCAATCGAACTTTTCAAAGCTCTAGCAGAAATGCCATTAGAGAGTTATTTATTCATCATCCCTGTCTTGATACTTATCGTAATTTTTATCATTGGGGAAAAGTTTTTCGTATACCTATTCATTACTGTTATATGCTTCGTTCTCTACATCTTTAAACAACGGATCGATACGGATCTTGATTTATTGAAGGAGAAACAAAAAAACAAATCTAAAATAATTGATAATAAATTTGAAGAAATTGATAATAAAATTGATGAGCTTTATAATAAAATTGAAGAATTTAATAATAAAATAGATGAACTTTCCGAAAAAATTCAACAAAGATTCCAGGAAGAAGATACCCTAACTAATTATTCAAGAAATCTTTCAAGTAATAATTCAAGCAATTTTTCAAGCAGTTCTCGAGGTAAGATTATTTCAACAAATATATCTACTACTTTGATGAGAGATTCATAGTAAATCAAATATTTCCATATCATATTAGCTTCAAGGCGGACCTCATTTTCAGATCCACTTGTTCAGAAATTTAAAAACCTTTTCGATGAAACTATGCGGGAAAACGATTATTCCAAAGCAGATATGATTAATGAAGTTGTAAGCGATCTTCGAAAGGAGAAGAGAATAAAGGTTGTGTCAAACAAAGCGGTGGAAAGTTATTATAATCAAACAACGAAATCGACATCAGGACTGTAGGAGCAATCAAATCTTGGATCGAGCTCAAGACTAAAGAAAAAAATAAATCCAAAAATAAATCAGCATCTAGCAATAATAAAATCGATGAAGTTAGTGATGAGGAAGAAATAGATTATAATAAATAGTTTTTTTTTCACCTGGTAGAGCCAAAGTATAGGGACGTATATTCATGGTCTAGGGGCCGTACGTTCTCTCCCTTGCAACTCTGCCAGTTTTCGTAAAAAAATATTAATTATTTTTGTATCTTATCGAAATATATTTCGCTTAATTAAATCATTAAAATAAAATGAATCATTTTTTAAAAATTATGACATAATATTCGTGTGCGACCTGCAAGAAAAATGTGGTATGACAATATATATAAATTGCCATTGATGTAACATTTTAACCATATTTAGTATTTTATTAATGGCAATGGACCAGACCAAAACTTGTTTGTCTCGATGGACCTGATCTATTGCCAACCCTGGCGTAAAACATCTTAAAAGGGAGTATTAGTATGGAAATTTGTCGCTTTATAGGGATTATTTCTTGCGCTATCCAGTGTATAAATTTCGGTGTGTAACTAGTGCAGATTTCTACAAATTTACAATGTCTGCTGATTTATATACAAAAAATACAATCGCAAATATGGAATTAGCATTCCGCCATAAGATCCACCCTTTTATGGAAATTCTAGATCTTTCCCCAGCATTAGGGGTTAACCTGTAATTTTACTCGTTTTAAGCTTGCGGTCGTACAATTGTGAGTTAAAGATGTAATAGTATTTTTCTCATGCCTGCCAAAAAGGATAAATTTTTAAAAAATTTTTGCCCAACAAATTTGAAAAAACCAAAAAACAAGTGTCGTTCATACTTTATAAAATTCAGTAAATTGCTTAAATCCTGATTCACACAATTTCTGATTATTAGAACTAACCTAAATTGGTATTATCGCAGTTAAAAATATGTCCTTTGCAGGTTCCACAAACAAATCTTCTTGTCCAAACTCCATAATAAAAATGTGGGTTCTTCTCGAAGGGCAACCGAGGGCTATAAAATTGAAAGCTGATTTATCCGAGGTCGAAGACTTGGACGATTTCGCACCTATTCTCAAGAGAGAGTTCGAAGAGTTAAAAAACGTTAAAAATCAAAATATCGTATTCTTAGATAACAACAACACACTTCTTTCACCAGACACTTGTTTACAAACTCTGGCATACAATACAACAGCTAAAACGCCACTTCTTGTTCGTTACTCACTCTCAAATGCAAACAGTAAATGGGGTTTTTATTTTCTTGGTTTTGTTTTTCCCACTTAAAATAAGTACTTATTAGTTTCCGTCAAATGTAGTTGTGGTGATCTTCAATTATTTGCGTTGTTCAGGTAAATGTAAAATACCACATACCAGTGGTTCCTTAAGTTTGTTGCGAGAGGAAGTCGTAAAAAGATTTAAGGAGATACAGACAGAAGAATTCTACTTTTTCAATGATGAAACAAAAGAAGAGATTCGGAATGAGTATAGCTTTAACATCCTAGTATCTCAGACCGAACTAAATAGTAACAACTATAATCTTAAGTTAAAAGTCAAAGTCGAGGGTAAAAGGTCTTATAGCGATTGGGAACTAAAGGATGTGTTTAAGGAAATATTACGACGGGATTATAAATCTCTTGGTGGTATGCCAAGATTTAACTTGAATGACCTACTCTCGTTAGAGCACCCATTTACTGAGAACGAATTAAAAAGTTTCGTTGATGAACTTCAAAAAACACTTAATGCATTCAAGAAAGAATTCGGCATCAATGAGGAGACGGCTCGTGAATATATTTCTACCTTCATGAAAACTGCGTTTTGCCATATACAAGACTACATAAACGAATCAGCACAGTTGAGCGTGGAAATAGACCTGGAGGGAAGTCGCGGGTATGGCCCTGTAGACTACATGGTGGTTATCATTAAAATTTTGGTGCTGTTATGTGAAGCAAAAGCGGAAAATATGAACAAGGGAACAGCTCAGGTTCTTGTGCAAATGCACAGTGCGATAGAACAACAATTGGGTAAACGCAAGCACGGCCAAATGGAACAAGCGATGTTCGGAATAGTTACAACTGGAAAATTATGGCGATTTGTCCGTTGGACTGGATCATTAGAAGAACCGACAGTTCATATTTCTGAAGAGTACACTTGCAATTTTAAGGGTAACATGGAACCCGAAAAGGAAGTGTTAAGATATATTGCTCAGATATTACAAGCCCAAGCTATGGCATTTGGTGTTGATGATAAGGACAGTGGTCATCCTTCAAAACGTCAATGTACTAGTCAAAAAAAATGAATTTTGTTCACCATTCCGCCATATATTTTCATTTCTGCATGTATTATTTTTTTGTATTAAAGGTAGTCGTAATACGTGAAAATAATAAAGATTTCACCCAAATTGGGATTTGATTTTTTTTTAACCGTATGCTTATATGTGTTGTGGAGTGGTGTGCATTGAAAATAAAAAAAATGTATATGCTATTATATTTAGATACGAAGCATCCTCAATCATGGACGAATAAAATTAGATTGCCGGTTTATTGTAAATAATGCATATAAAATTTTGCAATAAAGCTAAGCCCTGGTGACTCGATTTTGCGTTTACTTTTACAGAATGATCACCAGTTTTTTAGAAAAAAATAAATCAATTGTTATACATATTGACCTTGCCAGCTCCATTTAGAATATGAGTCACAGACTCTGGGATTTGCCCATTTGAAACGATATTATTTATCTCTAGATATCTACATACCTCTTTGTAATCGAATATTGCCTTCGTATCTTGCGTGTTCCAATTTATGATAATTATGTCTTCCCCTTCCATGACGTGCATATATTTATTCCGGTTTTGATATTGCACATACTGCGTATGATTCATAGAAAATTTGCCTTGAGTTTTACGTCTATTGTTTCTAGATTTGCGAGACATATCTTATGTATAATATCACACGTAACCTTACCATCTAGCTCAGACAGTTCATCGGAAACTAAGATAAATGAAGAAGCAAAGCTTCGAATCTCCGACTCATCCACCACAATTCCTATCCCTTCTACTCATATCTCTAAATCTTCAGGTCTAGGCTATTTGCCGAAAACTCAGGTAAGTGAGAATGTAGAGCTTCGAATTTCTGATTCATCATCCATATATCAGGGGTTTTAACTTGGACTTCTCTGACAATGATGAGATAGATAATTGGAGTGCAATGTGCTCTGATAACGATGATGAAGCAGGGTATTATTGGAATCCGAGTACTGGAAAGAAAATTTATAAAGAATCCATGGAATTGACATGCTCTGCATGATCTACTATATTCTGATCATTAATATGTTTTTATTTCATAAAAATTGCTCAACTATACATATTCCAATTTTTTGTGTAACGAAATTTATTTTTAGAATTTCAATGCGTATATACACCGCCTGACCATAATAACGCATGCATATTTATTTGTACGGTTAACCAAATTCGATTAATTACCTCATGTACATCCATTTTCCTTTGTAATGGAAATTCTTGGCGTAAATACATTCGCATTGCTTTATCTCTCTGCATTATTATTATTATTCACTTGATAGATCTAGAGGAAGACGTGGAAGGAATACGTTTAAAAAGGGCAGTATATCGAGTTATGAATATTTATTGCTTTTATAGTGATTTACCGAATTCTTATTCTTTATATTTAAAAAAAAAATCTTATCCCTCTAGAACTATTATCAACATGTCAAACTTAGTAATAAAAATCAAAAATTTTTTGTTGGAAGGATCATTCAAGGCTATCTGTGGTGCGACAGTTGTTTATTTGACAATGGAAGGTACTATTATTCCTCCTTATAATAGCGTTAGAGACTTAGCAGACCGTGCAGTTAATTCAGCATTAACAAAAATAGAAAATACTGAAAGAAGAACGAAAGTACTAGAAGTTTTACCTCAGGTTAGTGTTATATATAATACCGTTTTCGTGGATAATCATCCACACATAATGATGAATTTATGGCTGTATCAAAATTCGTTTTTGGTATGTCACTGCTGAAGGTCGGGGAATGTCGGCCCGGAAGAGCGATGTTGTTAGGAAAAAGAGGTCCTTCAGATGTCGAGGGTTTCTACTCCTCCCTGACTGTGCGTGACTACTACATCCAAAATAGTATTGATTAAAGAAATTATAATACCTGATTGTGTGCGCAAAAGTAATATTATCTATTAGATTTTGTGATCACAAAACTAACATACTGGTATCAATTAATATATCTGCCGTAGATGGAAAACGGGTATAAAAGTGTAGTGGGATTAAACGCGATAAAGGTGTTGAATATGGTACAGTATCTTATAACATAGATCGAGATATTTGCTTGATTATAGGTTAACCAAATTATATAGGACAGAGAAACAATACCCGATCATACGAGAGAAGAAATAGAACGGAATATTATTTGTTAAAAGAGAAGCTTAATGTAGGTGTTAAATCATTCTTTAATTATTCTTATATACTCTGTAATTTATTAAACATGTTTGTTTCTTTCTTAGCATCCTATGACGAATACAGATGTATCTTTATATAACGTTCTGAAGCAAAAGGTGCATAATATTAACCCCTCAGAACTTACATGGCGAGACCCAATAGCAAGTATGGTTCTTAGTGATGATTCGGAGATAGTAAAAAACTTGGAACCAAGACAGAAGAGTGTTTTTCTAAAACCGTGTGAAAACATGAAATGTGTTCTTCCTGAATCGGTTATATATAAGTGTAACGATTTTGTGGATAATTTTAATGAATTGAACGTTTCAAGATCTATGAGAAACATTATTCATGATAAGAATTGGAAAGAAGACGAATCTGAGTTATTAAAAATAACAAAATGTATTCTAGATATACTGTAAGTTATTAGTGAAAAATATAATGCATTTATAATATACTTTTCATTAGTGCTGAGATATGGAAGAATCCTGCGTTTACGACCAGTACATCCCGCAATCAGCAGAGTGAAGGAACGTATATCACGGATGTTATAATTCCTTTACTTCGAGCGAGTTTAGGTGATCTCCCAAATGGTGGTATCTGCTTGAGCACATCAGAACGGCAAAGTTTAGCAAGTAAAGCTCGAAGAAATCTAGTAACCAATGAAAATCAGATGGGAAAGAAGCCTGACGTTATGGGACTATCGATTCAAGATGAAAAAATTATAGAGTTGGTATATACTGAATCATCGCGTATTTTATGCAGTAATTCAAAGAAGGCAGATGACGACGTAAAATTATGGAGAGAGGCATTGGACGGTGCGAGTTCTATCAGTGAATTGTGTAGACCGGTCGGTAACCAATTTGGAATTGTTGGAATTCAGATCGCTGGTTCTGTTATATATTTAAATATTCTTGTGAAAGATCTGGTTGGTATACCTCGATATTTCTACGTTGACCATGCTGAAATCCCATTAACTCGACATAAATTGCACACTAAATCCCTCATTCGTTTATTATTGATCTTAAGAAATATTATGATTGTGAATAAAAGCTTACTAATACAGGCGTTAGAACAAGCTAGTGCTCATCCACCTCGAAATGTTCATCCAAGCACCACCGTTTCATCACCACCACATAAATAAATATTAAGGTAATATTGAAAAACGTTATATATTTTTATTATGTAATTTATTTTTTTCTATATCAATAAACTGACCCGGGCGGTCGAGATTTTCATACATATATTTAGTGTAAGCATAAAGTACCGAAAAAAAGTGTAGTTATTATTACGCATATCTGACAATTTCCAGCTACATGTTGAGAATATCCAAATCAAAATTATTTACCTCTAAATACCTGCATAGTTCTACATAATCAAAAATCGCTTTCATATCTTGCGTATTCTTATTTATTATAGTTATGTGATCTTCATCTTTTCTTTGAATGTACTTATCTCGGTTTTGAAATTGCATATACTGCGTGAGATTATCAGTGAAATCTATCTAGAGTCTTTCGTCTGTTATTTTCTAGATTTGCGGGACATATCTATATTAATATGTGTAAATGACTTCACTAAAAGTAATTGTAATTCATAATTAAAATAAGTCAATATGACCCGTTTTATTATTGATATATAAAAAATGTTACAAAAATAATAACATAAAATAAAAAATCATATCGCAGTTATATACTGCAGACATAAATAAAATACATATCCACTATTACTAATGGGGGGGGGTTGGGTATTTACTTGTACAATAATATGAATTTTGTCATTGGGAGGTTGTCTATTAAAATGCTTAAAAATTAATTCATGTGGATACATTGGCCTACCAGAGTCTCCATTCCCATTTTGATATGCTGTAATTTGCTGGTGGATGTCTGGAATTAGATCTACACTAGTCTTATGAAGAACAAATTCGTAAGGAATAATGTTTTCAAACCAAAACGGAAATCGTTCCTTAATCAATAGGTCTTAGGATATCGACTTGTTTGTTAGTTGGAATCTCAAGCACAATAATATTATTTACAGAAATACTTTCAGGAATGGCGGTATGAATCACAAGGCAATTGAGACTAATAATATCGGCCATTTTGTTTTTCCTAAATATGGAAAACCATAGTGAGTAGAATTTCGTTTTCAAGGATAAAAAGAAACTTTGTAACATTTGCGTAGATATTATGTGTCAAAGACACTAGCTTCGCTATACATACCTTAAAAAAAATTCGATAAGATAAGAAATGAAGCCTCACAAATCCGGCTTATTTATAGTGTTTCATTCGCTTGATCTGGAACCTGCTAAAAGAAAAAAATTTACATGATTAGTAATTACGTTACCCCCAACCATTTGCCAGATCTCTGCCCCATAAAGCAATTCTATTAGAATCACAAGCGCCAAGAACTGAATATATTTCGTCATTTATGGGAAATTAAACCTTTCAGAATGACGATCGCTTTTGTAGAATAAAAAATTAAGACAAATTTTGACGATCTCGGAGATGGCGGAGATTTCAAGTTCCATAACATATGAATTTCGATATTATTTCTGATTAAATGTAATGAACTCTCCTCATTCATATCCTTTTTAAGTTTCATTTGTATTACTTCTTATCAGAGAAAGCAAGAAAAAGGCTTTGTTGCTATAATAAATAGGTGAGAAAATAATCCTTGTGGAACAAAAATCATGAAAATATACGTGGTATTTCTTATTGTTACCTAATCGATCAAGATAATTAATTAATATGCCGTGTGACATCATGGGGCTGTGCAATGTATAAACTATAAAAAGGTGAAAGTACGACTATTTCCTCTATAAAAATTTTTTCTAATTTCAAACAAACAGTCATGTCCAATACTCCACTTCCATCAGTCGAAGAAGTTAATAAATGGAAGCGGAACGATGTTACTAAATTCTTACAGGACAAAAAAGAAGAGTTGGATCTTGATGATAAACACATTGAAGTCATCAAAGATCAAGAGGTCGCTGGCCGTGACTTCCTTGAGGTGGACGTGAACAAACTAATGCAAGATGGGTTAAAAAGGGGACCAGCTGAAAGAATTGCAAGTTTAGTTAGAGATATTAAGGGAGAAGAGCAGGGTAAGTACCATAACTGCATTCAAACATTTCAAACCTATACTGTTTTCTTCGCAATAATTTCATTTGTTAAATTGTGCCTCATACATTTATTCCTATTATATAGAACAAAAGCTTCAAGGTATGCTAATTTATGCAACCCTATTTACAAAAGGCGTTATATTCTTGTGCTGGAGAAATATAGAAATGACTAACCTTTCCTTTATCTTTCCCATTTTATCATTCCCACAGCTGGACCCGGAGTTGTTGAATTTTGGAAAAAACTTCTCGATGCAAAAATAGTCTTCCCGATACCACAAGATATGGAAGGAGCTGAATTAGATGGTTTAGAATCTTATTATACGATCGAAAATAATCATGTCTGTCTAAATAAAGGTGTAATTACCGATTCAGATGGTATGCTATACAACAATGGAGAGTGTACTGATGTACGATTACCATCAATTCTGACTGATGCCTGTGGAGGAATGCTATGCTTACCAGACAGCGTGTACTTTCTTGGAGATGAGGATTATGGATTGAAGCTTCTGATACGGAACTGTTATTTGCAATTACTCAATTTAATTGAGAAGAATAGAAAGCAAGATGGCCCAGCCAAAAGAGGTTGCACGATTACTGGCACACCCGGTATTGGAAAGACGTATTTTGGTTTATACCTTCTCTTTTACATTCGCTACAGTTACCCTGATGCCATAATAGTCTGGCAATGTAATGAAAAAATTTGTTATCGATTCTCACCAAATGGTAATATGCAAAAAGGGAATATTGACCAGTTTGACAAGACACTGGATAACTGTAATAACTTTTTTCTTGTTGACGCACAAGCTTTGACGTTTTCATATAAGGCCTATATGATTCTGTTTACATCGCCGAAAACAGAAAGATTCAACGAGGCTGTCAAATGGCCAGGTTTTACTCAATACTATATGCCAATTTGGGAACACGATGAAATTACCACACTTTGGGCCCTTCAATACAAGAATAAGAAAAACAATGAAGGCAAAGAGTTCACGCTTGAATTACTTGGGACCCTTCTGGAAAAGTGGGGACCCATACCCAGGTCTGTTCTTTTAAAGTGGAACGATAAAACATATCAACAGAAATACCAAACACTGATCGATGAAGCAAACTTAGAAAGTTGTATAAACTCTATTGATAAGTCAGGAATGCCCACAGATGCCATTAGCGGTAGACTTGTATATCTTGAGGTAGATCCAACATTTACGAATGTAGTGTATCGTTTTGCTTCTCTGAGGGTATCTGATAAAATTATTCAGGAATATGAAAGCAAAACTAGGAATAACGTTCGCGATTTAATCACAAGTAGTCATGAATTTCCAAAGATCGCTGGATTTTGGGGAAACCTATTTGAAGATTTTGCCCATTTAGAGTTGAAAAGGGGTGGTACATTTAGGATACGGTGCCTGAATAATGATAACTCAGAGATCACTGAAAAATGTATTGAGAATCTGGAGTGTAATTGGTTCATGATGCTGAATGAAGCACGTAAAGAATATTATAACAGACCAAAATCAAAGACGTTTGCATCAATTGATTCTTTTAGCCTCGATAACAATGCCTTGGCCTTGTACCAAATTACTATCTCAACGAATCACGGCATAAAGGTAGGGGACAATAGACATAATTGAATTTATAATTTGTCGCTATCACTAACTCAAGTTGTATAGATAAAAGGACTTAATGACCTTAACCGTTTCCTCTCGTGGAAAAATGACGTGAATGAAATTAATCTATACTTTGTCATGCCATCTGACATCTTTGAAAAATTTCCCCCTCAAAAATACAAGACAGCCAAAGACCAAAATTGTCAGAAAATTCCGAAATGGATTAATAATATAACCCAATATGCACTAGAGATCAATGTGGGTTCAGGACAGTACGATTTGAAACGATCTAGTGATACGATGTTGGGAGACAATGAAAGTGGGGAATCGTCAGAGAAAAGAATGAATAAAAAAGATATGAAAAAACAAAAAACGAAAAAGTAGATAATATGGGGGCTGTTCTAGGAAAAAGTGGGTTTCTTCAGATTTTTTGTTTTTGAGATATTCATAAAAACAAAAAGCACCCCATTTTTGTTGATCATCCGATCTGTACTACAATTAAAAATGTCTGTTGAAAAACTCAAGGTAGATTCAGCAATAATCCTAAACAGTATATGCAATTTTTAAACCGGGATAACTATCATAAATAAGAATACGCAAGATGTGAAAGCGATATTTGACTATGAAGAGGTGTGTAAATATCTAGAGGCGAATAATTCCGATGCAACTATTCTCAACGGAGCTGGCAAGGCCACTACGTACAGCAATTAATTAGCTTATTTTTTTCAGATATTTATATGTATAGCTTTATTAACTAAAAATCGAAGAAATATAAGAGAAATAAATATAAAACCAAACCTATGGGGTAGACACCGTCGTTCTTATATCATCAGAATCATAGACATCTATATTTATTTCCACTTAATAACATTACATATAATAAGTCACATGATACAAAAACTGTGAACATTGGAATAAATTCCAGAAATATATATGCAAAAGTAAACGCAATTATATATGCGAAATTGAGCCACTAGAGTCAGCTTTATTGATACTGAAAAAAATAAAAGCATATTATAGGATAGAATATAAAAATACACAGAGTTAATTTTCTCAGTCTAAGGTCACTTTAGAACCATCACACCTGAACTGGATTGATCAGCAGTCTTGGAAATTTTCGTTATTTTTGTGTTCAACCCGTAAAGAATAAATTTTGAATTATCATAAGGCTCAACCCACGAATTAAAATGTGATATAAAAAGTAACATAACTATATGGGGGCTGTTCTAGGAAAAAGTGGGTTTCGACCCTCAGATTCAAAAATGAGATATTTATACCAAATTAATCT